GTTCCTATCACCTGATGTTTTTAAAAAATTAAGTAAGACGAACGTCTTTTATCAAATGTTAGTTAATAACCGCTTTGACGCGTATCTGAGAGATGACCATTGTCGAGTCAATTGCTATTCAAACTCTTTCAATAGAAATTAAATTCACTGTGAAGTTGTTTGCTTAAACGCACCATCAATACCCTGCCCATTATCGCATCTTTTGTGAAGGAACTGCTCCAACCAGATGCTAGTGCAGTGGATAGCACTCGAAGTGACTTGTTATCTGTCACTAATGTTATCGTGCAAGTGATATTGAAATATTAGTCACTCGAGTGCATTTAACGAACAAGCAGCACTTCAATGTTAAGATTTCCGAGATAGACCCTCTTGATTTTTAAGGGTTATTAATAATTGATAAGCTAAAATCTTGGAGTGTAATGCTTACTTACTTGCGATGACAGCTTAATGGAAACGTCCGAAACCAATCAAGCTCTTTGCAAACAAGTCACGTTCTTGCTCTCACGGACCGATTTTGACAGAACAAAAGAAAACTTTTTGGCATGCTATTTTAAGTGCCGTGCCCAACACAAAGCAACGTAAACTTTGTCAAGAAAATCATCTTTTGAGTATTCACGAAAGCATATCCCTAACAAAACTCTGTATGATTCGACTGCGTGATGGGCTTTAAAACGCTTGAAGAAAAGCAATTGCGCTGAATAGTTACAATAGAAGTCCGACTGAGACGGTTTAATGGACGTGTGTAAGCAAAGCTTGAAAGGAAAATTGAACCCTACCTGAAAGAGCGCCGACTAATCAAACACAGATGGGAACGCAAAACTCCTTCTAGGCTCTAAATCTCACATAACTGAAACGAATGATCGGATGGGTTATCACGAATCACCACATCAGTGTTTAGATCCTCCGCACCAGGAATTGCCTTTGGGGCTTTGTTTTGTGCCCATCAGAACGAATTAGAATCAGCTTATGTAATCCGTGTAGTCATCTGGTGCTAATAAAAGCTGACAAGAATATGTATTATGTGTAAATACACTTGAACTAAATAAAATTCACTGTTCTCAAATCAATTTACTGAAAACTATGCCACACGATAAACAATTGCCGGAACAGCCGCACAGTGAAAGTAAGAAGTGTCGGAACAAGACATGACCGAGTGCGCCAAGAGTTTTGAACAGCGAAGTTTAACCGGTAGTAAACCTCGCCTTGCCTTTTCGATTGATAGTATTTTGGGAAGAAATGATGAACCCGCGCTCCTTCCAGCGCAGCATGTTCGAACAGAGGCAAATGAGGCAAATGAAGAACGGCGTAGGTCTTGTGAATCAGCTCCGGTAGTCACCGAAGGCTGTAAAAGCATTGCCCAGTTGCCCTGGTTGTCTTATACACGTTACTCACCCCCTAAACTTCCAAGTAAGTATAATTCACTTACTGCTATTTTGAAAGTTAGATATGAATTACTAGATGTTTGCGCTTAGACTGAAAACAAACTTCGACATCGCCCAATTGAAGTTTAACGTTGTGCGGTTTACTGTTTGACTGAGAGCCATGATTATACTTTCACATATTTTGACTGGGTGCAGATAGCAGGTAGCGTAGAGTCGGCGTTTCCCGAAGAGAATCTTGCGACTACCTTCAGCTGAAGGTCATCCCTATCTAAAAACGCGTACGTGGACAACTAACCTCAGTAGTCGTTTTTAACTAATTTTCTTTCGTTTCTACCTTTAAAAAGAGTTTTTGAGGTGATAATCATAAATTTATCCGATAATTATTATCTATAAAGCAGTCATGTTTTTAATGTTCCAGTAATCTATTTTAATGAATTTAACATCACTTATCCACTAGAAGCAATTTAACCCTTCCACTCGCCAAGAGCGGCCAATGACAAAAAATCCACATGTTTTTAAAATTTCATAAGAAATAATTCGTACTATAGAACAGTTCTGCTAAAGAGGTTTTATTTGAAAGGTAACACCATAAGCTTTCGATGACAGATTTTAAGGAGTAGTGATCCTGCCATAAGTTGGTCTAGGTTTAGTATTTTGTATCATGACTTTCCGACTGGACTAAACACTAGAGAGGAAGTACTCCATGACAAAAGCTTTGGGGAAGAAAATAAGTGGTCTTTTTAGAGAGGTTAATCCTTTCACTCTCAAAAGTGGAAAAGTCAAATTTCGCAAAAAACTGCAAATTTTATGATCATGTAAAGGCTGAAAAACAAATAGCACCGTGCGATATTACTGCCAGAGAGGCTTTATTTGAAATGTTACACCTCAGGATTTCGTCCACAGACTCAAAAGTTAGAAACACGTTACAAGATTCCCATCATTTACTCTGGGAGTGAAAGTGTTAAAACAACTGTGATTGTACCCGCCTCGATAAGGAAAATTGCCCCCTGTAAAAGTTACGGTCAGTAGGGTTCGACTGTAGTAAGTAACACATAACTTTTACTTTCAAGTCTAAACGCCATGCATGATATACCCCATGATATAAAAGGCCCTAATTTTCTGAATTACTTAGGGTCGAAAAGAAAGGCAAAGAACTGTAAGCGTCGATCAAGTGGCAGCCCCAGAGTGCCTTTTTCCTCTGCCCAACTGATAACTTTGGAACAAACATACACAGAAAATCGCTACCTCTCTGGACCACAGGTTGCTGAGCTGGGAGCCAGCTTGAACCTTCCACATCACCGTATAAAGATATGGTTTCAAAATCGCCGTGCAAGAGAGAAGAGAAACCAAGAGGAAACTCCAGTGAGAGCCAAGTCAGAAGAGTGCTCAGCACAACAGCACCAATTTGACTTCACGCATAACACGCCCTATTGTATTCCTTTACTCTCGCTGGGTACAAGCTTTCCTCTGAACTATTTTGCGTTGCAGAATTATTACACTTCACACTGCAATATCCTCAGCAGATGTGTAAACTTTGACGTTTATTGTCGGTGTGAATATACGGATTCTTAGGTGTAGTAATGAGGGAGTGATCACTAACTCAACAAGAGCGCTTAATCTGTGTTGTTGTTACAACTGACGGTTCTACATGTTCATTAACCTTCTGAATCGAAGATATTTGATGTTGTCACATGGCTTAGTTAATCACCACTCCTCAGCTAAACATGTTTCGCGGCTGTTTTTGCGTCGTTATGTTAGCGGCTAAGTTTACTAAGGAGTGCA